CGACGTTATGCAGCTGCAGGACGGTTCCCCGTGCCACTAATGTATCGCTATTACGGTTGTCACTATTTGGGTGCGGCACATGGTGTGATGGGCATTTTACAGATGTTACTTTGGTAAATTTTTTTTAATGTTAACATGCCATAAACTTATTCGACCCTAACTGCATCGCTTGTTCCTAGTCAGTGTTGATTTGATTTAAATTGCGTGTGAACTAGAATATAGTGGTTACTTGGTACTGTGCTAACTCAAAAACTTGCCAGAAAACAGTGGCTGAAATTTTGTCAGCATGTTTATCTCCCGTATCGGAAATCATACACCTAAATTGAGTTCCGAATTGCATTTGCGCCACGACTTAGGGCACTTCAAAGATATTTGTAGCGAAGTAGCTGTTTCGCTTATCGGATAAGATGCGAGGCTGAAACTTCGCTGGGATATTCTGCTTTCAAGTGCGTTCTTAATTCTGCTTGGAAATGAAAGTCCCTGCAGGTAGTTACGAGGATACTCGACTTTACTGAAAAATCAGAAACGAGCGCGTTTTGCAGCGAACAACCGTCCTTATCCAAATATGTAAATGAACATTCATTTCATTTGCATGCTTAGATTTTTTGATGAACGACCGCTCTAGCAACATCTCCACCTTTTAATGAACTGAAAATTTGCACTTTTTCCAAAAGCGAGCATTTATCGAAAAAACGACCAGGCTTCATGCAAAAAACTGGTTATCCTGTATCTGACGGTCCATAATGTAACACTTTCATCCCAACCGACTCCCTTTCTCCTGCATGCCGGAGGAGGCCAAAGCACGCCCAGTAATGAGCCCAAGTGTTAAGCTACAGCGCAGGGATCATCCCTGCTATTAGCGACCTTCGAGTTTAGTGCAAAAACACATGATCGCACCGGCAAGCCAGGTGCATTCCAGCCTGAGTTTTAAAGTGCTGTTGAGTGTCTGCATCACTGATGTGAGCAGTCTTTGTGGTTTCATTCAGTCGGTTGTTTTTTTTTGACGGCGCTTTTCCGAAATTCGTATGTGTTGCAGCTTTTCTGAATTTCTGGATGGTCAAGCGAAAAAGGACACCATAGAAACTCTGGATTGGATTGTGTCGCTTCAGCTGAAGAATGGTAACTTCCCAGCAGAGGTGGAAGAACGGGGTATCGATCTTGGTGAAGATGAACTGGTTCACTGGTGTCACGGTGCCACCGGATCTGTACATCTGATGATTGTTGCATATTTACGTACTCATAACGAGCATTATCTGAAGGTCGGTGTCACATTTCACATGTTTTTGTGTGATGTTCCATCTCGCTTCATTTTTTATTTGGCAGTATAAATTGGATGTTTTACTGTCTTGCTTTTCACTAAGGAAGCCGAACTTTCTATTCACAGAAATCTTTCCCCTTCTTTTTTTTTGAGGTTGTTTATCCTGTAATGTGGTCTTTGATATGCAAAAAAGAGGCAGTTCATTTACTGTTGCTTTTAAATTGCATTGTACTTTATCTA